TATCCTTTAAGTGAGTTCCTTTGTATCCTTAACGTGAGCACGGTATCCTTTAAGTGAGTTCCTTTGTATCCTTAACGTGAGCACGGTATCCTTTACGTGAGCACGGTATCATTAACGTGCGCACGGTATTCTTTACGTGAGTTCCTTTGTATCCTTAACGTGAGCACGGTATCCTTTACGTGAGCACGGTATCCTTTACGTGAGCACGGTATCCTTTACGTGAGCACGGTATCCTTTACGTGAGTTGCTTTGTAACCTTAACGTGAGCACGGTATCCTTTACGTGAGCACGGTATCCTTTACGTGAGAACGGTATCATTAACGTGAGCACGGTATCCTTTACCTTTACGTGAGCACGGTATCCTTTACGTGAGCACGGTATCATTAACGTGAGCACGGTATCCTTTACCTTTACGTGAGCACGATCCCTTATATGACACGGTATCCTTTACGTGAGCACGGTATCCTTTAACAGTTTTAAATCTATTCGTAATATTATTATGTTTGACTTGAATGCGGTGCACAAACTGAAGCATTCGATTATAAATTTATTAAAGTTCATCGATTTCACTATTTTTAAACCTAAATTCCAGTCAAATGTCGATAAAGAATCGTTGATAGCAGCTTGACTCCTAAGAAACTAGATTCAATCAATGTTTTTTCGACTTTAAATGACTGGCGGGTAAAAAATATGTTCCTCTGACAAAATTTTAAAAAAATATGTTCCTGTGACAAAATTAAAAAAAAAATATGTTCCTCTGACAAAATTTAAAAAATATGTTCCTCTGACAAAATTTTGAAAAATATGTTCCTCTGACAAATTTGGAAAATATGTTCATCTGACAAATTTAAAAAATATGTTCATCTGATAAAATTTTAAAAAATATTACAATTGTCTCCAGGGCATCACACCTGAAAACCTCCGATACGGCATGGGATGCACCCGCGTGAACCCTGAGCTGACGGAAGGACAGGCGTTCGGCGTGGAGGTTTTGTGCACCTTCTTGTTGGTCTTCACGATCTTCGGCTCTACAGACTCCCGCAGGACGGATGTTAAAGGATCAATCTCCCTCGCCATCGGTCTCGCCGCCATCTGCACTCACATGTTTGGTGTTAGTATGATCTAAGAACAAACAAATTATGAAAAAACTATAAAATAATAAATTCAATAAGCCATTGGACCATCATTGGCGTGATTGCGTCAACTACCCTTGGTCTCGCCGCCATCTGNGACAGACGTACAGACGGACGGACAGGCATGGCGAGCACAATATTGCCTTTTTAGCGCATTTTCTCATTTATGGAAAAAATGCACTATTGTGCTTGCCATGTCCGTCTGCCCGGCCGTCTTTCCGTCCGTGACCTCAAGTTTTCGTCGACGAGAAAATGTGCTCTCTGTCACTCACTGCAGTGAGTACTGAGTTATATTTTATTCCATAAATGAGAAAATGCGCTAAAAAGGCAATTAATCCCCACTTCCAGATCCCGTATACTTTCCGCTTCCATTCGCTATCCCAATTTTCTCTTTTTTTTGTTTTATTTAGTAATTTAATGTTTGCAGTTGACTAAGCAGGTGTTGATTACAGTTCAAAAGTTAAATTAAACAAATAAGTAATAAAAACAGTGTTAATCAATTTAAAAAAAGCAATTAATCCCCCACTTCCAGATCCCGTATACGGGCTCCTCCCTCAACCCGGCACGCACCTTTGGGCCGGCGCTCGTCGTCGGTGGGGACGCCTGGGACCATCACTGGGTCAGTTACTTTAATTAATTAATTAAGTAACTCACCCAATAATTGAATTAATTAATCATGAGGACATGCTTTCAAAAATTATATGTTTCGACGAGTAATTATTTCTTTGTTTGTAATGAGTTATCCATTGCCATTTTTAATGAACGATATGATATTTCGTCGACATTTTGGATCATGGCTAGAATTTTTTTTAATTATTGTGAATTATTAATTTCCAAAAATTATATGTTTCGACGAGTAATTATTTCTCGGTTTGTAAAGAGTTATCCATTGTCATTTTTGATGAACGATTTGATATTTGGTCGACATTTGGGATCATGGCTAGAAATTTTTTTAATTATTGTGAATTATTACTTATAAAATTTAATTCTATGCCTAGGTTAACTGGTTAAACAAGGTAATGCATACTGTGTATGAAAAGTTTCGTATACTTGTAAAAAAATGTTTTTTAATATACTGTTTATGAAATAAATAATTATTTTGGTTATAAATTGATATAATAATTATAATAAATCAGTATAATTAATAAATAATTAATAATTTATTTATATAATTTATTATATAATTATAATAAATAATTATATAAATAATAATTTATTATATAATTATAATAAATAATTATATAATAAATAAATTAAATTGATTTTTCAAAATTACGAAATAAATTTCAGTAGATGAGTTCTCTCCGTAATGCTGAAATTAGCTTATTTCCATAGCATGCCCCCATGCGTATTTCTCGGGTCCAAGGCAATCGCAGGAGCTGAGACGACGCGATGTGCAAAAAACGCACTGTCGTACAATATGAACGGAGTTTTCTTACCAAATTTTTCTGGTTCTTCTCGTGACGGCGATAGAAAAATTTGGTTGCGGTCACGTATAAAAACCATAAAAATTATTCATTAAACATAAAAATTATTAATCGTTTTAAGAAATATTCATTAGCAGTTTTGCATTGCATGAAAAATCTTTCGAATTTCGATCTTTGTTACGGGATATGCACGAACGCTAATTATTTGATGTAATTGCAACGCTGAAACTTTACACACTTATTTCTCTGGGTGATAGGTGAACTGCTTAATTTTTTCACTTTTATATTATGCTTGTTGTCCACAAACGTGTCTATTCAATCAACAATGTAAAAAATTTGTGATATTTCGACTTGGTGCTAAATGCCTTGTCTTCTTGCTGTATTAACTGCTGAGTGAACGAGTTCTATGTAATGTATCACTATACTTAAATAACCAAAGCGCGTATTCATTAAAGTATTGACGTAAATTTGAGTTGAGGTAACTACGTTATTTCGAGTATTAAGGGTCACTTGAGGGTAGAATAAGTTTACTACATGGATTGTGCCATTCCACAACATCAGGTCAAGTGACCATAAAACACACAATCACAAATCTTCCTTGTGAATACTTGCAACAATTCTAACCTCATAATTCTAGCATTGCTGATTTAGTTGTCGCAAGTAGCTCTTTAATGCAAGTGTTGTTGAAGAGCAAAAAATACGAGGCGGTAAAAATTTTCTAATTTTATTTGCAATTTACTTAATTAGGCGTAATGCACAGCATAACCCATTGGCGAGCGATTTTGTTGCGAATGCAAAACACCACATTACATCCTTTCCACATTGCTGAAATTCATTTATGGAGAAAATTCAATAGCTGATATATATGTCCATCTGGTCTAACTGTTCATAATCAAAAAACGCCATTTTTAAAGACGACTCATACGAACAGCTGGGCTTATACTTAAAAAAATTTAAGAGATCGTAAGTTCATCAGCCAATCATTGACGGCCTTTCAATCAAAATCCACCAATCATATAAAAAAATATAACTAAGTACTCATGCACTGCAGTGAGTAACAGAGAACGCATTTTCTCGTCGACGAAAGCATGAAGTCACGGACGGACAGACAGACGGACAGACAGACGAACGTACAGACGGACATGGCGAGCACAATAGTGCATTTTTTTCACAATCAACGCTGAAACTTTACACACTTATTTCACTGGGTGATTGGTGAACTGCTTCATTTTTTTCACTTTCATCTTCTGCTTGTTGTCCACAAACGTGTCTATTCAATCAACAATGTAAAAAATTTGTGATGTTTCAACTTGGCGCCAAATGCATTGTCTTCTTGCTGTATTAGCTACTGAGTGAACGAGTTCTATGTATCACTATACTTAAATACCCCTAGCGCGTATTCATTAAAATATTAACGTAAATTTGAGTTGAGGTAAATACGTTATTTCGAGTAATAAGGGTCACTTTAGGGTATAATAAGTTTACTACATGGATTCAATAAAGAAAAGTATGAATACTTTTCGGTGCCATTCCACAACATCGATCAAGTGACCATAAAACACACAATTACAAATTTTCCTTGTGAATACTTGCAACAATTCTAATCTCATAATTCTAGCATTACTGATTAAGTTGGTCACAAGATGCTTTTTAATGCAGGTGGTGTTGAACAGCAAGAAGTACGAGGCGGTAAAAATTTATCAATTTTTATTTGCAATTTACTTAATTAGGCGTAATGAACAGCGTAACCCATTGCATTCTTGCGAATGCAAAACACAACATTACACCCATTCCACATTGCTGAAATTCATTTGTGGAGAAAATTTAAAATCTAGAATATGTATGTCCACCTGGTCTAACTGGTCATAATAAAAACGCCATTTTTAAAGACGACGCAGACGAACAGCTGAATAGGCCCAGGGCCTATACTTTCAAAAAAAGTTAAGAGATCGTACGTTCATCAGCCAATCATCGACGGCCTTTCAAGCAAAATCAACCAATCATAGACAAGAAGATAGTGCGTAAGTACTTACGTTCACTTAGCGAGTTTTGAAAGTATGGCCCTGGGGTCATACTTTCAAAACTGGCTAAGTGAACGTAAGTATTTACGCTCTATTTTCTAGTCTACGATTGGTGGATTTTACCGTAGAGGCCGTCAATGATTGGCTGATGAACTTACGATCTCTTAACTTTTGTTTAAAGTATAGGCCCAAGATGTTAAAGGTTTAACTTCCCACCCCCCCTAAGCTATACTGGATGGCGCCCCCCGTGGGCGGCATGACAGCAGGGCTGCTGTACTCGCATTTCTTCAGGCAGATCAAAGAACGCGACGTTGAAGTTGTCTACAGCAAGCATGAAATTCAACTCAATGCGATCAATTAAAACTTGGTGCATGTGGTAAAACTTTTGGTGTACTTAAACCCCTTCTCTTAAAATTTATTTTCCTTTATTTTCAGTGCTTCTTTAAAAAAAAGCCTTATTCATTAACGCTTGTTAACATGAACATAATCTTTTAATTTTGTCGTTCAAAATTGGTCTAACAAACTGGATGCAAGCTAATTTTAATCTACTGTGCTTTAAATTAACAATATTTTATTTCCTTTGCAGCTTGATTTACTGTTAATCCGGTTTCATCTTTAGTAAATTTCCATGAATTAAATTACTTGCAAGACGCTTTTATCCTCTTCCTTGACAAAAAAATATATTTTTTCTGTTTTTCTGATAGCTCTGTTTCAAAAAATAATTAGTTCAGTACATGCATATCAATTTTATACACGATAAAAATATATACTTGATAAAAAAATACTGCGCTGTCGTAGTCGCCGTCATAGTAGTTAGACTTGATTATAATTTATTTAATATAAAAATATTGATTGATTCTTTTCATTTATCTTAACTAACTCGCTCTGATACTCATGTTCATTACTGTAGCTTTTTGTGGCATATTAACGTATGGCTTGTTCCTCAATGTGAACCGACCTTACTGCCTCAATATCAAAAAATTGTTTAAAATTTTTTTTAACTATATGATATACATGACAGTATTATTTCAGTACTATAATATACAATGCAGTTTATCTCATTACTTTTCATTGGATTTGAATTATTTAGTTTCCTTCAGTATTTTCAACGATGTCATCCGGAACTTATTTCTATTTTTTTAGACTTCAAAATTATAAATTCTGAAAAAATGAAATGGGTATACTTTTCCTATTTTAAACCGCAAGTCTACACTCAATTTTCTCTTTTTTGGTTTATTTGGGTTAGGATTATGCGGGTGTCAGGCAGAAAAAAATTTATTCGGACAGATGGAGTAAGAAATGTATTATTTTGGGTGCGATGAGGACTATGGGCATTCTAACGAGAATGGGCATTCTAACGAGAATGGGCATTCTAACGAGAATGGGCATTCTAACGAGAATGAATTTTGTCTGAGCTCATTAACTCTGGTCCTGCCTAAAAGGTCCCAACCTTATGTATACGAGAGAAGTATGCCTAGTAAAATTCTTTACAGTACCAAATTGGTGAACAATCTAGGGCCAGTTCAGATTAGAGGCTGAGTTTTGCCTAAGCTCGTCGAATCTGGTCCTACCTAACAGGTCCAAAGCTTATGTGCACAGGAGAAGTATGTGCCGTAAAAGATTCTTTACAATGATAAAAATTATTAACAGATGCATTATATTTATATAAATTTATGTAAAGCTCTTCAGGTACTAGCACCTGTGACGGTTTTAGAATGTTAATCTGACAGGCAGAGATTACGAATACATGCACTAGAGGCAGAGGGTTAATGAAGTTCTATTAAGTTCAAGTTGTGGCAGAAATTTCACGTAAATATTATTTTTAACCTCGATTCTTTCTTTCATCGACTTAATGGCTATTTAATTTTATATTGTGGGATGAAGAATGCATAAATTTATATGTTTCTGTGAGGTATATTATGAAAAACTACAGTTGATAACTGATCGTCAATTTGTCAGTACTCTTCAAATGCTGGAGGCTCTGTATAATTAATTATCTTGCTTCCTGAATAAATATTATGTTTACAGTCCGTAAAGAGGCCCGCGAAGTATATACTGGTTTGAGACGTCGTCGCTAGAAACCTGAGGTGCCGCCCCAGGCAGATAACATTGCAGGCTCGACGTTGCAATTTCCTGCGTTGCTTCGTCGCGTTACGTACGTACAAAAGCAGGTAAAGGTTTAAAGGGTTTAAGCTTTTCCAAGAATTCCAGACAGAGAAGGAAAAAAACTGACTTGGGATCGTGGTCCATGATGGGAAACTCCCGGATGGATAACAGTACGATGGTTTCAAATTGTAGCTTGATTTTACAGTTCATTTGGAGAACATACATCGATGAGTCAACGATCGTACGATCGAGTGATAAAAAAACATAAATGGGGCTGTTAAATAATGCTGGACCAAAATGATCATGAGATGATATAAAGATGATACAAAATAATTGATTGATTGGGGAATGAACATTTTGAGCAATCTTTTGCACTTTTTTGTTTTCAAACTAGTTTTGAAAACATTCAACAGGAATTATCATAAGATTGCAAAAACGCTTAAGTATTCGAATCTCTGTTGAGGAACCACTTGATGATCTTGAGGCTGCGACATGTTAGGAGCTAAAAAAAAACTGCCCACAGGTCTAAGAAACAGATGGAGTTCAATGAACTGGGAAAAATTTGAACGTCATCCTTACGAAAGAAACAGCAGAGTAATGATGAATGATGATTGTATGCGAGGGAAATGTTTCATTAACAATGACCGTTGATGAATTTAAAATGGAAAAGGCATCATGACGTTAGAGATGGTAAGTGAAGATGCAGACAAAGAAGAAAACGATCAGAGGAATGAAAAAACTTAATTTTCACCAATTACTGATCTTGTTCATAGTATTGTTGGGCTCAAGAATTTATTTACAATAGAGTTAATTTGCACAATAGGCTTTTGAGTTTTAGTTCAATGCAAGAAAACGTCTTCTAGTCAGAGAGGAATATTCTATTACAAGCATTTGAAATATAAACGTCAGAACTGGCACAGAAAATTCGAAAATGAACTGACAGGAATCTTTGTTGTACAATGAACACAAACCAATTCAATTTATCTAAAACCATTTTCGAGATCGTTCTTCCGGTACCAGTTTTTAAAATAAATTTGTAATTTTGGCATCCAATTTAAAATACATACCGGAAAATTGGCATTGAAATATCCCGTCTCCCTAATAAGATATCTCACCTTTGCACAATTAACTAAGCGGGAAATGCATCATCTCTTTTAATGTCAGGTGTCATCTCGAATTCCAACAGTGATTCTTCGGATGTTGCATATGATCGCGAGACTGAGTTGTGCTTGAAATTTCAATGGTCGCATGGGTAGTTTACGTAACTGTTTCTACTTGAAGGTGTTCAAATGTGATTGACATTGAGAAAACTAATAATATTGTCCCCTCGATATTTTCAACTAATGATGTGCAATACTTTTTTCAGCAGCTGATCTAGATGATTTGCTATTCCTCGTAAAATATTGTATATGAGATGGAGATGTATTAAAAAATATATAATTGTGCTTATTGAAAATAAAAAATATGATTGTGCTTAATATAATTGCACAGTTATTGCAATATCAATCTGGGTGAAATTCGAGCCCGTAATCGACGCTGACGTTTGACAACAAGTGTGCTGATGTGCGTATGCTTGATGCATTCATGCAAAGGCTGACTCATGTAATAAGTTATATAATAACGAAGTTTCTCAACCACATTCTGAATGTCACATGAACCCTTCAGTGATGCTGCTATTTCTAGCAATTACGATAATGCAGAATATGTGATTTAATGCCCTTGTGAGATTTAAAGTCTAATTCTTGTAATTGTTTTGACACAGGCCCATAACCACATCCATGTGAAGCCCTCATGGACACTGTTATTTCCAGCAACTATTTTATGACTGAGATTTTCATTATTAACAACAGTTACATTATGACATATATTTTCACAATTTCATGCTTAATACCTGCTGTAGGCATAACTAATTTAATTATGATGGCACAGGCCCTGGGCCATATCTCTGGATGCCACGTGAACCCCTCAGTGACGCTGTTATTTCCAGCAATTATGACTTTACTAAATATTATAATTTCATACCTAATGCATGTTTTAGGTATAACTAATTTAATAATTATGTCACAGGCTCTGGGTCACATCTCTGGGTGCCACGTGAACCCCTCAGTGACGCTGGGCATGCTGGTCGCGCGCTACATCTCCGTGACGCGCAGCATCCTGTACGTCGTCGCCCAGACGCTCGGTGGCATTGCAGGATCTGCAATCATACAGGTGAAGGCCGGGACTTATGCAGGCTGCAATCATACAGGTGAAGGCAGGGCTTATGCAGGCTGCAATCATACAGGTGAAGGCAGGGCTTATGCAGGTTGCAATCATACAGGTGAAGGCCAGGACTTATGTAGGCCGCAATCATACAGCTGAAGGCCGGGACTTATGCAGGCTGCAATCATACAGGTGAAGGCCGAGACTTATGCAGGCTGCAATCATACAGGTGAAGGCCAGGACTTATGCAGGCTGCAATCATACAGGTGAAGGCAGGGCTTATGCAGGCTGCCATCATATGCAATCATTCAGGTGAAGGCAGGGCTCATGCAGGCTGCAATCATACAGGTGAAGGCCGGGACAAGCAGGCTGCAATCATACAAATGAAGGCCGGGACTAATGCAGGCTGTCGTCATACAGGTGAAGGCCGGGACTTATGCAGGCTGTCATCATAGACTATTGAACTGTCTGCCAATTAGTTTAGTGTTGGAATTCAAGGTCAAGCAAGATACCGCTTAACAATTGTTATCATTTTTAAAAAAGCTTCAAAGGCTATTTTTTCATGTAAAACTTGTAGTAGAATCTCACTAATCATTTTCTTTTGAGATTTAATCTCATATGTTTCCTGAACTTTTCGTGTGTTACCGATTGCCCGTGATATATTATATTTTTAAGCAAAGCCTTCTAATTGGCTTCAGCAATTAGTGGGTTTTAAACTCGATCGAAATGCACCGTGAAAATATTGTTTGACGACAGGCGATTGGCCACATCTCTGGCGGTCACGTCAACCCTGCCGTGACGCTAAGCTTCTGTTTGTGCCGCAACGTCTCTGTGGTACGCGGGCTGTTCTTCCTGGTTGTACAAGTCGCCGGTGCAATCACTGCGTCTGGGATACTGTACGTAAGTGAGCCGTGAAACAGTTTAACAATGGAAATTAGGAAAATTAGAGTTTAAATCAACGGTAAAGTTAAACAGCAGTAGAGCGTAAAAATACGAATATAATTAAGTGAAATTTGGATAGAGTCTGCGTCAACTTGGAATATCAAATTTTTATCATTGGCTTCAGGTTGTTTTTCTGTCGGGACTAGTATGAGGTTTTAATTGATCAGAATGTTATTAGGCGTGCTGTAATTTCATTAATTA